ATTCCTGGGGGGAAAGCAGGCAGCTATTGAAGTGAATAACCAAAACAAAGCCATGTAGCCATAAATCAGGTCACAACTCTTTGGTCTATATCCCATCAGGCTGACAGTATTTGTTAATCAAAACTTCTATCCAGAAAGACAGAATGACATAGAAGCTCTTTTTGCAAACTGATCCATTATAACCACTGTCAGTATTCCTCAGTTTTCAATACAGCTAAGGGTTTATAAACAGAGAAGAGCACTTACCTTATACTTAATAGAAGCTTGCATAAAGGTGCTAATTAACACAACATACAGCAAAGATTAAGATAGCTGTTAACAGATATTTCACAACAATTAAAATACTAAAACAGAAGCACCGCGTTGGAAAGCAGAGACATAAAATTGCCACTGCGATCACAATCATAACAGATACATAGTCCAGAAAACCAGAACATCTTCATGTTCTTACCACACACTGCAAGCCACAAATCAGCTACAGAATCCTGTCACAAAACTGGAGAAAGTACAGAAACCTAGAACAGACCACAGTCAGAGATACTAGAGACAACAGCAACATGTTAAGTTGCAATAGATAAATGTTCATGTAAGTCTCCAAAGTGTTCTGTGTCTCATGTCACTGCAAGGCACAGACATTCCTGCGAACTCAAAGATCAGACACAGGGACAGTCTGTGTGACAATGCTGCTACTACACTAGGACATGGAAATACTCTCTCTGCTGAGCCATGCTACAAAAGCTGAATGCAAGAAAGTGCCTTCCAACACCAGAGATTTCTTAGGGCAACCAGCCCTACTTTCTTTTAGTCATGAAAAGTGCAAGTCCAGTTCAGAAACAGTAAACAAGAGGATAATTATGATCAACAGAATTAGAATTTTTATAGAGGACTCGACCATCAAGTATATGGAAAATGCTGCATAACTGAGAAATACTGGTGCTTCTCTCCCTGTATTTTCAAGCTCATCAGAAATAATCCCTCTAATATAGTTCCATTTAAGAAAGGAAAATCCCAGCAAGTATCTCTATAATACAGTTCTGCCTTTTCTTTAGCCGTTCCTGTGGTGTTTAATGCACCTTTGCTGAATTCCACATCACCATCCCTCCCCTCTGCAAAACTTTCAAATGAGAAACAGGTGTTAAAAAGATGGCTGAGAAAGAGCGGGTGTGTTTATCAGCTGCATAAACTTACGTTGAAGAAATTAGTCTTGTTCCTCTCGCAGAAGAGGCCCTGAGCAGGCATGTGCTTCAGCTGCTGCCAGGGGACCCCGCTGCCCAGCAGCACATCCCGGGCCCACTGCAGGTTCTGTGGATAAAAACAGGGCAGGTGAGTTGCAGCCAGGGAGTGGAAATGCCCCCCACAGGTAGAAGTACGAAGCTCTCACTTCTTTTTATAGATTAAACTGCATTGTCATTTCTCATTTTCCACACAGCTGCCCAGACAGGATTTGTAGAGGCCTGTGATCTGGAGAACACGTCCCTCAGGAGAGACACCATCTTGGCTCCCCACAGGAAGCATCCAGATCCAGCTGATCATCAGCACCAGCTGAAACCCAGTGCTCCAAATGATTTCTATATAAAAATATAAAGCTTCTCAGCAAGCAGTGGGACTCACGGGCCTGGCAACTTCTCCTCCACACAGCGGGCCCCTCACTGCCCCCGGCGCTCCCGCCGCTCAGTCCTGCCCGTTTTCCCGCCACAAATGCTGTGACAGCTCTTTCCTGGGGCTGCTACCTGAGCACCCAGGCCTCCAGAGGCAGCCTGCAGCCTCAAACTGCAGCCTTATTTTAGTGGAGTGGTAAATTCAGGCCTTTTACTTCTATCCAGCCACTGCCCTCCATATCATTTCACTTAACCTCTCTGGAAAATTCCACACTGGTCATAACATTTGGTTAATAGCACTCAGTGAGTTCACCAGAAAGTATCGGTAGAACACTAAACATTAGACAACAATCAAAAATTCATAAAAGTGCTTCCCCTCCAAGAGTTCAATATATGAACATCTCTTGTTTAACTGAGAACTAGGGACAGCTGCTGGCTCCAGGCAACACATTACTAACAGATAGGACAATTTTTAATTGTGAGGTTTCACCAACAGGAGCTTTGCTTTACTACTTTTCAGTATTAGAAAGTAGCATGTGAGTTGCATTAGACTGGCTTTTTTAGAGAAAACTTCACTACAGAGCAGTTAAAAGAAAGAGGAAGATGTTTGGATCATGAGAACGTTGAATTCTGATTTGTGTTCTGTGGACTGGAAATAAATGCCTGTGAATCATAAATCTGATTAAATCATGTCCATCCAAGAAGTATATTCCAGTTGTAATTTATTAATTTTTTTTGGTAGGGGAGGCACATTAGCAAGTTATCCTGTTTTTCAGATTATTTTCTTTACAAGACACTAGTGAGACAGGAAGATCATAAATGCTTTTGTCCTAATGACAATAATCATGCAGAAATCTCCAGTGTCTTACCAGAATTAGAGCATCCCCTCTAGCAAAATGCTGATTACAGATTCACGGGCAAGAGAGCTGAGCACTGGAAACACTAACCAGATATTTACAGATGTCAAAAATCCTTCATTCAGAGAGCTGATATAGGTACTTATGCAGGACGTTCATGATTATTGTGCATGACAGCTGAGGGAATGTGGACAGCTATCTTTTGGTATGGAGCAAATGCACATTCACTCATAAACGTCACATGGTACTTTCTGGCTAGTCAGGGGAACCAGTAAATTTAATTATTATCACTGAGTGTCAAATTTAATTAAGATTGAAGAAAGCAATGTACATAAACTTAACTGTATACTAACTTTTTGCCATGGTAGTTCTTTTGTAATATGTATTTCTGTAATCCTGTTAACCAAAGCCTGCAAAATACTTTGACATACATATAGAAGAAAATACAACACAGAAAAGAACCTACAAAAATCTAGTCTTTGTGAAAATGATCCTGTTTTGATTACAATCAGAATCCAAGAAAATAACGCTATCAATGTCCAGCATCCAGGCACATAAATGCTTTATCTTATGCCAATTATCATAGTCAGAAATGTAAGTTTAAAAAGTGTAAAACCAAAGTAAAAAGAAATTCCTGAAGTGTGGCAACCCGAATCTTATAGATAAAACCATCACATAAAAATTAAAGGAAAACAAAACCCCTACAAAAGCTACTACCACAATGCTTAAATATAAAAGCCCACTTTAAAGAATTTTTAGCTATGGATGTATTTCTGAATCTAAGTTTTACGATTAAAAAGTTAAGATATCATTAAGTGTAGCATCATACTCTGGTGATTTGCTGTGCACATAAGACTGACCATCCACTGGCATGTATTAGATACATATAATTCATAGGCTTTTATTGAACAAGATGATGACAGTAACCTAGCTAGGAGGAAAAAAGATCATTCAGACAAATGGGCCAATTACACGGTAACTTCACACAATCAAAACTAACAGGAATAAAAGATGTAGCTACAGATTTTCCACTATCCTTCTCCTTAAATCAGCATGATCAGTAAATACGCCTGAGCAGGTCTCAACTCATTAGATCTCAGAGTCTGCTCTGCTTAGTTTTCAGCTGATGAAGTTATTAGGAGTGGGTGAAGGGATCCAGGACATAGCAAAAAGGATTTATTCCTCTTGGCACAGTGCTTGCCAGTCTGAAATGCTGGATTTAGCTCTCTGACTCAGGGCAATTATGAAGTACTCTTTCCAGTTCAGCTATTGCCTCCCACATCTTCATCACCCCAAGGTTCAAAGACAAGATGACTGACAGGGTACAATAACTTGCAAAAAAGTTCACCAGCACTGTTAAAAGTAAAAAACTAAAATTTCTTACAGTCAACCAGCCGGAAATCTGAGTCACCTGAGATGGATACCCCAGAACTCAATGTGTCAGAAGCCACCTGTACCTAACTTGGAAACTCCATGGAACATTACTTCTCCTCCACACAGCGGGCCCCTCACTGCCCCCGGCGCTCCCGCCGCTCAGTCCTGCCCGTTTTCCCGCCACAAATGCTGTGACAGCTCTTTCCTGGGGCTGCTACCTGAGCACCCAGGCCTCCAGAGGCAGCCTGCAGCCTCAAACTGCAGCCTTATTTTAGTGGAGTGGTAAATTCAGGCCTTTTACTTCTATCCAGCCACTGCCCTCCATATCATTTCACTTAACCTCTCTGGAAAATTCCACACTGGTCATAACATTTGGTTAATAGCACTCAGTGAGTTCACCAGAAAGTATCGGTAGAACACTAAACATTAGACAACAATCAAAAATTCATAAAAGTGCTTCCCCTCCAAGAGTTCAATATATGAACATCTCTTGTTTAACTGAGAACTAGGGACAGCTGCTGGCTCCAGGCAACACATTACTAACAGATAGGACAATTTTTAATTGTGAGGTTTCACCAACAGGAGCTTTGCTTTACTACTTTTCAGTATTAGAAAGTAGCATGTGAGTTGCATTAGACTGGCTTTTTTAGAGAAAACTTCACTACAGAGCAGTTAAAAGAAAGAGGAAGATGTTTGGATCATAAGAACGTTGAATTCTGATTTGTGTTCTGTGGACTGGAAATAAATGCCTGTGAATCATAAATCTGATTAAATCATGTCCATCCAAGAAGTATATTCCAGTTGTAATTTATTAATTTTTTTTGGTAGGGGAGGCACATTAGCAAGTTATCCTGTTTTTCAGATTATTTTCTTTACAAGACACTAGTGAGACAGGAAGATCATAAATGCTTTTGTCCTAATGACAATAATCATGCAGAAATCTCCAGTGTCTTACCAGAATTAGAGCATCCCCTCTAGCAAAATGCTGATTACAGATTCACGGGCAAGAGAGCTGAGCACTGGAAACACTAACCAGATATTTACAGATGTCAAAAATCCTTCATTCAGAGAGCTGATATAGGTACTTATGCAGGACGTTCATGATTATTGTGCATGACAGCTGAGGGAATGTGGACAGCTATCTTTTGGTATGGAGCAAATGCACATTCACTCATAAACATCACATGGTACTTTCTGGCTAGTCAGGGGAACCAGTAAATTTAATTATTATCACTGAGTGTCAAATTTAATTAAGATTGAAGAAAGCAATGTACATAAACTTAACTGTATACTAACTTTTTGCCATGGTAGTTCTTTTGTAATATGTATTTCTGTAATCCTGTTAACCAAAGCCTGCAAAATACTTTGACATACATATAGAAGAAAATACAACACAGAAAAGAACCTACAAAAATCTAGTCTTTGTGAAAATGATCCTGTTTTGATTACAATCAGAATCCAAGAAAATAACGCTATCAATGTCCAGCATCCAGGCACATAAATGCTTTATCTTATGCCAATTATCATAGTCAGAAATGTAAGTTTAAAAAGTGTAAAACCAAAGTAAAAAGAAATTCCTGAAGTGTGGCAACCCGAATCTTATAGATAAAACCATCACATAAAAATTAAAGGAAAACAAAACCCCTACAAAAGCTACTACCACAATGCTTAAATATAAAAGCCCACTTTAAAGAATTTTTAGCTATGGATGTATTTCTGAATCTAAGTTTTACGATTAAAAAGTTAAGATATCATTAAGTGTAGCATCATACTCTGGTGATTTGCTGTGCACATAAGACTGACCATCCACTGGCATGTATTAGATACATATAATTCATAGGCTTTTATTGAACAAGATGATGACAGTAACCTAGCTAGGAGGAAAAAAGATCATTCAGACAAATGGGCCAATTACACGGTAACTTCACACAATCAAAACTAACAGGAATAAAAGATGTAGCTACAGATTTTCCACTATCCTTCTCCTTAAATCAGCATGATCAGTAAATACGCCTGAGCAGGTCTCAACTCATTAGATCTCAGAGTCTGCTCTGCTTAGTTTTCAGCTGATGAAGTTATTAGGAGTGGGTGAAGGGATCCAGGACATAGCAAAAAGGATTTATTCCTCTTGGCACAGTGCTTGCCAGTCTGAAATGCTGGATTTAGCTCTCTGACTCAGGGCAATTATGAAGTACTCTTTCCAGTTCAGCTATTGCCTCCCACATCTTCATCACCCCAAGGTTCAAAGACAAGATGACTGACAGGGTACAATAACTTGCAAAAAAGTTCACCAGCACTGTTAAAAGTAAAAAACTAAAATTTCTTACAGTCAACCAACCGGATATCTGAGTCACCTGAGATGGATACCCCAGAACTCAATGTGTCAGAAGCCACCTGTACCTAACTTGGAAACTCCATGGAGCATTGCTGCGAGGTGTACAAAACATCCTTCCATCTCTTTTCTTTTACAGCCTGTTGGAAGGTTTTGTCTCAAAACCCCCTAGTCCTACTGCAACAAAAAAAACACAAAGTAAAAAGTCTATTGACCTTGAAAAGCAGCCTCTTGAATGAGCTTTTATTACTCTACTGTTGCTACTTGAAATGCTTACATCTGCTAAGCTTAGAGATTATGCCTATCTCTAAACATATATAAAAACTACATATATATAAGCCTGTAATTATTAATGTATTACACCTAGATTGACCAAAATGTCATGCTACTGACATTGTTGTACCTGACATTAACTTCCCCATTACAGCTCTGTTAATAATGGACATAACACAAAAAAAACAACTTTAAAAACCTATGTCATCTAAACAGTATCTGTGAACACATTCTTCCAGGTTTTGCAGAGTATTTTTTATTTTGGGATTTAAAAAGTATGTAAGTAAATATTTTAATTTCTTAACTGGTTGCACAGTATCATACCATATCTATGTACTGATCTATAGGAACCATAAGGCAAATATTTTCACAAAACTTTGTAGTTATACTGACAAACAGCATCTTGCCAAGTCCTATCTTCTTTCAAACTGTGCCAAGACTTCAAGACAGAGAAAAGGTGAATGGGAAACTAAAACTACTGCCCAAACTGGCAACAAAGTAACTTCTGAAAATTCAGCCTCACTTTCCTGCAGGTTTATTCCAACAAAAACCAGCTATGTACAAATTTGCTTCTGATAACAGAATAAAACAAAGAGAAATAGCCTCCAAATAGTAAGCAGGAATTTGCAGAAGAAAAAAAAAACCTAAAGCAAACCAAAAACAAACCAAACCAACCCAACCCAAAACCAGAACATGGAGCCAAACAAAATGTTGAAAGATTTTGAAAAGGGTGTTAAAAAAAAGTACTCAACGACTATGTTTACTAATCTCGCAACAGCAAAAGCAGCAATATGGTAACATGGAAGAAAACAGATTGCATATGGAAAACTTGTTTTTCTGTGCACAATGGAGACCTGCCAATCCTCTCCTTTCCCAGCCAACCATGAATTTTGGCCATCAGTTTAAATTCTTCATACAATTTCCTGGCACTGGTACTTAAATGCTGAATTTTCCAAGATGGTTATATTCATTTAAAAATTAATTTCATCCTTCTAAAATTTACCAGCAATCCACTCTGCCCCCACAGCAACTCAGCCTGATGTAATTAATTTCATTTTTACAAATCAGGCTTATCATCAGAATATCTAAACATACTTCTTATTCCACTTACTGCTAAAAATGCATAGATGCATTTTGTGTTTTAAGTCAGTTCAGAAGTATAACTCCAACTAAACACATATCAGTGTCCCATTAAAATAGACATTTGACATTTCTATACAAAATAACCTGAAAATAAAAAATTACAACTTCATGAAAGTATAGTAGTGGTGTTTTTGCAGTGTTAAGTAATTGTTATGCAGAGAAGTAACAAAATAGGACAGCAAAACCCAACAGTAGCAGTTGAAGCCAATGTGGTAACTACTAGGCTGAAACACAGTTCAACTTCTTTGAGTTTCAAGAGTTAGACAATGATGTGTATGTCATACAGAAAAACATTACAAATCTCTAAGTTGATCTTTATATAGGGAAAAAGATACAAAAACAAAAATAGTAGGCTCCATCACAAAAAAAAAAAAGAAAATATTTTATGTGTAGTTCATTCCTCAGGCAAAGACATGCTATTTGAACCAATAAATTGAAAACAAGCAGCATTTTTTGCTGAATGTTGATACAAAATCTTTTGTCAGCAACAGTAATGACAGATTGCAGTAATCTAAAGCTCCTATTAATCATTAGCTCCATGAAAGAATTAACAACTGTCACATACAAACAGCCTAAGAATGTTTTCAAAACAATCTATCTTTTAAAAAAAGGGTAATGTTTTTCTGGATAATAACTGTACAGCCAAATGGAGTGTTCATCCCCTTTCAGCAGACTTGTAAGACATGCTGCAGCTCAGTTTGCAGCAGTCCTGTTGGTATGTCTGAGGCAAGGATGTGATTTGTTTCCACTGCCTTCCCTTCCCTATTATTCACACAAGCTTCAATACTGCTGGGGAAGAGAATTCAGGAAGCCATGCAGTGCAAGCAGGTGACAACACAAGACTTCCAAGTAGAAAATCTGTGAATTCAAATCTTGATTATGACAATTAGTGAAATAAATCTGATCATTTCAACCTGCTATTCATGCACATTTTATTAACTGCTACTGCCAAAAGTCAAAGGATTACAATAACAGAAGTATGAAGAAGTAAAACAAAGAATGGCAATTTTAAAACTAAACCAATGATAATTCATAGTAGAAAGCTTTTCAAATGAATTTGATTATGAAGAATATGCATGGGTAATGTTGGAGAGGGCAAGTTATTTTGCCCTCAGCTCAATCAGGAACTAATACTACTGCAGTCACCAAGACAGATATTCTTGTTTAATCTAAAATCATCAGCCTGTAAGCAGTAGGATCTCTGACTTTCACTCAGTGATTTGTTACTCAAGTTGACTTCTGTGCTTTGACAGTAGGAAAACCTTCATTCTACAAAGATTCATGATACCCAGAAATTGTCACAGGATGTGTTTACACCAATACTGATGTAATGCTGCTTCCCAGCCACTCTTCAGTCCACTTATGAGTAAAATAAATAATTTGTCATTTTTACAATAACATCTTAATTTATGTAACATATGTAAAAGGTAATAATCTGCTGAATGACAAAAAAAATTACTTAGTTCGTAATAAAAGTGCAACTCAATTGCCTTCAAACACATGAATCAGACAATCCAGGAGCTGCAGACACCCCAAAGCTCAGCTCCAATCCAAACTGTATTCAACAAACTGACCTGCTGCATTTTAACAGAAAGACTTGGGAATGAGCAGAAAGGACAATCCTGGGCAATGAACAGAGCTAATCAGCTACTGCTGCAGTGATGTGCTCACCTTGTGTGTCCTGCTGTATGTGTAGAGGTAGGCCAGCCTGTAAAGGCTCTTGTAGTGCTGGGGAAAGCGGCTGAGGCACAGGCAGAAGGAGGCGATGCACTGCTCTGTCAGGAACTTCCGCTGCTCCTCCAGGTCTGTTGGGAGGCCGTGAGGAAATTCAGATGCATCTCCACAAGGCTCAGCTCTCTTTTTGCAGTCCCACTGCGAGGGTGGGAGGATTGCAGCTTTGAGGGGATTGCCAGAAGCAGATTGAGGATCCACCAGAATTTTCTGGCCTGTAGGCTCAGCAGGATGGTAAGACTCTGAGCTTTCCAGCAGCTCTTCTGACTTCCCTGCAACTGGAACATTAAAAGGAGACTAAAGTGACAAGGAAAATTACAAAATGGCAAATTAATGATACAAAATGACAACTATTAAATACCACAAATGATAATCCTTCATTAAAGCACAGACAGAATTACTGAGTGGTTCCTGAAAAGTTAGGACTATGCCTGGTGTTTAATGAGTAAGTCATCTTCACCTCATGAACAAACAGAGCCACATACTAATCTCTCTCCCTGTGGGTTTCTCCTTGAGCAATAGTAAGAATTCAGCACACCTTACACAATGCAGAATTAGATAGTGTTGGAAGATGGAGGGGAGGGACACAACAAAATCAAAGTGCAAATCCAGTAAAATTCTATTACAAAGAAAGGAAGAAAGAACAGAATTAAATCCATCATGCCAGGCAAAATCTATTATTTGTAATGATCTACCTAGAAGAACACAATTCCAAAATACAATTTAGGCTCAGACAGAATGATTAGCAGCACCTAACCTGGCCTTCTGGATGATGCAGGACCTACAATTCCACCCAAATATTTTTTAAATTAACTTGGTAACTCATAGCTCCATTGACTCACTTTTTCTTGTAGGATACCAAATCTTACATCAGAAAACATCTGTGAGAGTAAGAGCTTCCATGTTTCCTGTTAGCTAGTTGTTATTGCTGAAAACATGTATGATACTTGCAGATTAATTTTTTAACTTTGACTTTTAGTCATAGAAGTTTACTGTGTCTTTGTCTTTGCTAGAAAAAAGAGACTAGAGATAAAGTATACTTCAGCCTCATGTGTGAAGCTACTCCTTAACTTTTACTCTGATGATAAGATTAGACTTTGAGTCAAATAGGTTTTCCAGAGCAGAAATATTTCAAAATTTGCTTCAGCATTATAATTTTACTCTACAGATAACTTTATGGAAAAGTACAGCATATATTCTAATAAATGTCAGCAATGTACAACATTCTGGTTCCACAACACAGAAAGGTGGGCAACATGTATACATTGGTCTTGTTTGTCTTTTCCTACTGAAGTCCAGCTTCTCTATCTACTGCCACATGCAACTGTACAAACATCAGACAAAGGGAAATTCCAGCTAATGGATTTTGAAACATTTTTTTTCCAGTGGAACACAGAACACTTAGTACTATTATATATGGAAAAGTTTGGTAGAGAGCAATTCCACTTCTCTACTGAAATAAAGTATCCAGTGGAATAAAACCTCTAATTCCACTGCTTGTGCTCTTCTATGTACTGAGTATCAAGCTGCTACTGGGCCAGAACAAAGAGGGCATCTATACCTGGGGAAAATAAAATTTTTTGTTTGAGACTATCTTCAAATAACTACTCCTTAAATCATCTAGAGATTTGAAACACTGAAGAAAGAATAAATACCAACCTAAAAGAAGCCAGCCAAAGGGCCATCACAGACAATGCTTTATCATTGTTCTTTTCTTTGCAAGGTTTAACAGGCAGTACAAATCGGGATGACAGCCACATAAGCAAAGCAGAGTTCCAATTTCAAGCTACACAAACACATGCAGCAATAACACCTAGCTAAAATTCCCCATCACAGTGCAGCATATCTCAGTACCTCTGCATGCCAAGAGAAACATTTTAATGAGAATATAACAGCTGACATGATCTAATAAATTAGGCATACTCTTTTCCTCTGTAGATCCCGGGGTCTCTTTGCTGGGCATTAGTGTATCAGCACAGGTAGTAGAAATCCTCTTCTCTGGGTAAGTCTTCCTCAGGCTGTCTTGAGAACTGGCGGGCTCATTAAACATATCCTGTGTGGAACTGGAGTCAGACAGCACTGCTGCAGTGCTATCCTGACTCCTCTCTGCAAAAGAGATAAAGAAGGTATGCACCATTTCCAACAAATCAAGCTGCTGTGTCTTGGTAACAGCACCACAAAGCTGCAGCCACCCTACAAAGCTCTTACAAGCCCAGTAACAACCACCAATTCTGTTGTCTAAAAGGTATTTATTTTCTTTTTAAGTTGTCTACTTCAACCTATAATTTTAATCTTGCCTCTTTGTGCTAAGAAATTAGACCCCCAGACTTCTTTCATTAGCTATTATTTAACTAATGTAAGAGAATTCCCTGCCCCACCACATTTCTTTCTAGAATATAATCCTGGAATCAGATTCAAAAGCAATGGTGCTTAACTTTCAAAAGCAGTTAGGCTGAGGATGCACTATTTCAGCTAGAACAATCACATAAATTTTCCTGAGTTTACTGTGCTATTTACCTTGAAACGCACCCAGTATAGTTTTGAGTCTGACACAAGCAATGCTCAATCGACAAGAGAAAACCATTAACAACAATACTGGTAAAAATTACTCATGAAGGACAGAAAAAAAATCAGTCCCATTAGAGGGCAAAGACTTACAGGAGTGGTCACTGATGCCATCTATCCTGCAGGTGTTAGATGCCATTCACCAAATGTTCTGAAAGGTGATCTGATATGGCAAATAAACAACCCAGCAAAGAACTAGGTCTAAGATAGAAAAACTCTTGGACTTTGCCTTGACAGAATGGAGTAGTGTGCATTGGTTGCTGACTACATTACAGTCACAACTAAACTGTTAATCTGCTGATGGCTGTTACAGCACAGGAAAAGTTGTACAGGATCACAGTTTTATCATGGGGGATAAAATTCACACTTAGAACAAACAGGCAAGTGAAAACCTTCCACCCATGTCTGAAACCTGCCTGATATAGCCCAAGCTCTTCTACATTAAGGGTTACTAGAGGCAACCCTGCATGACTGAAAAATGCAGCTTAGTATCTCCAACAGAAAGATGTATGTATATTCCCACTGAGATGAGAAATTGGCATTTTTCTGTAATATTGTGCCAACATAATTCTGTGTCCAACACAAAATTCCAGTACACGCAATTCTCTCTAAATCTGTAGCCCAAAATACTAATTTCCAGTTTCTGCTTGAGGCACAGAAATATCTTAGCCAAGAGGCATCAGGCTACATCTGTTGTCTAGGTAGTTCCATGGCATTCTTACTCATTAATTTTCTTGATAAGATCAAGAAAGAAAATTTTAAAAAGCAAAAGCCTTTGTGCTGAGATGAGCTGATAATTTAATTAAATTTCTTATGTTCCATCTGAATTGCACTTGTTCAGAAGAGAGCTAAGGGCCTCCTATGAATTTATTTTATCAAGATAAATCCCTCTGCAGACCTTCAGCTTGCAGATCAGGTTCTGCTTATTAAGATTCCAAGACATTTAAACCAAATTCAATGCCCTCTGCAGGCTCTTCACTACCAAAAAGAAAACCTTTCCTTTCAGTGAAGAGATCTTAATAAAACTGTATCTTGAAAAAGAATGGGGGAACAGCATTTGCTTCCTAATTGGAAGTTATATAGTTGGTTAATGATGACAAGTTTTATACAGAAAGAATATAATTATAAAGAATGGGAAGAGAAAAAATCTGAAGGGAGGTCAGTCAAGCTTTAAATGACTCATTTATAAAGCTTTAATAACCTTCTGTGGTACAAGTGGATACTGTTGAACTCCCAGTTGGCATCAGGAAAAAACATTCACACTCACTGCCTTTGTTGTTTTTTTTTTAAAGGAAGTTTCTGCATCTGTGGCAAAAAGGTTGAATTACTCATCAATGGAAGAAAAAAATATGCAAATTTCCAAATGTTGCCATAAGCCTGGAGGTCAGTTCTGATGTGTGGGTTATGACAGATGAAGCATTAGAAGAACTGCTGGACCAATAAGCAAGAGTGGTATCAGATCACTAGGAAATGACACTGACTTCTCAGCATGCAAAGACAGACAAGGATTTAGCACATTAAATATCAAATGTATGCATGGCAGGGATGCTTTTCCCTATGGGGAACAAATGTAAATACCCCCTTACAATTAGCTAGCTATTTTGATTTGAAATATCTAGTAAAATGGGTGTAGGTCTAAGTATGTATGTTCATCCTCCTTTTCTTTCAGTAAGTTAACTATATACACAAAAATCTTAATGATATCAATAACAGGCTCCTTAATGACTGAAAAAACAAATCTGGCTACTATGAGACAACTTATAAATATACCTTGAATGCACTAGATGCTTTAAAACCAAGTGGGCCTGATGAAAAACACTGGAGTATTTCAGAAATTAGCAGCAGACACTAATTATTAATTTCTCAGAAGTCAGAGAGGATGGGCAAAGTTCCAGGGAATTGAATACAAACTCTAGTACCTATCAAAGGATAAAAGGTCAGAGCTATTAGCCAGCCACCCTTCATTCTCCACAGAACTATCTGAGCATAAATAAACAAATAAATCTGCCTTCAAGCACCTAAAATATAACAAGATCACTAGTAGAAAATGTATGTGTATCCCAGCACATGTATTCACATATGCCAGAAAAGAATTAGTGATTCTCAAACCAGAAATGGCCAAAATGTCGTGCTATTGTAAAAGCAATGCAGCAAGCTATCATACTTGAATGTATAATCAGTAACTTCATAGAAAAAAAAATATGTAAGAAACTTCCTTTCTACTGAGCACTAATGAAAATTAAGCTTAATTATGGTGTCTGTATTTGGGACCCACGTTTTAAAAAATACACTGAATAGCTGGAATGAATTCAGAATAGAGGAGAAAATACGGTGAGGGATTAATGAGATGGCATATTAATCTTCAAAAAGATGAGGGAGAATTTCCAAATACATACAATTAGCCAAATTTAAAATACAGTAATTGCTCTTCATATTCACTAAGTACAGAGCAAGAGGCAATAGGTTTTAATTGCAGCAAGAAAATGGCTTTTTCTTTTCCCTAATCTCTAGCTTAACTGTTGCAGCTTTAAAAATTGTATAGAGAACCTACAGAATCACTAGAGGTTTTCAAGGACAGGTAGACAAAGAACTACTATTTGTTAGGTTACCCAAGGTGTACTTTAATATAATAAAAAAGCTCTTTGGATACCTAAATGCTGCAGTATGTAATGGAGAACTCATGGCACCAAGTCACCTCCTAACTCTGCTTTAGAAAAAAAAAAAATCTACATTTTTCATACATGGAATTTCAATGCTCTTCTAGCCTAATTCGCCAATATACCTTACAGATAGACAGACACACAGCATATATTTTTACATTCATTGTGTTATAAAGCTTTTTCTTCATCTGATAAGAGCTGACTGTAGTTGAGACAGTCATTAGTGTTACTCAGCCTGTATGCCACAGAGCACTGAAGTCTATGAGACATAAGAACTCACTCCAAATTCCCAACTGTTGTTGATACCTGTCCTCTTGTAAGATGCAAATCCAGGGAGAACATCAGTGCTTTTTAATAATTTCTATTATAATTAAAGACAACTTAGTGCAATGCAGTGTAATTTAAGAGTTAAAAAAATTACTGGGTTTAATATTTTGTTTACCTTAGGTATTTTCCTAGTTCCTCCATCTGGCAATAACAATCAGGCAAGCCTTCCCAAAAAGCTAAAATGATCCCTTAGTTATAAGCAAATGACAAATCAAGGACTAAATATTCTTCTGAGGTCTCCTTCTGTAAAGTTTCCTATTATTTCAAAAGCTAAGATAAAAATACAACTGGGTATTAATGTCCCAAAATTATTAGCTGTAAAGGAAATGCAGAGAACAGGGAAAAAGGTCTGATAGATCATGCATAAGCAACTGAAAAAAAAATAAATCCAAAATGATTATTAGAAATATGTCCTGATGCCAGATTCTCTCTGTGGTATTATTTTATTTTGTTTCATTACTTTGTTGCATCACTCCTAAGTTTTAGGTAGATTTCAACCAATTTGACAAGCTGAAGTCTGTAATATAAAATTAAGTATTTAATGTGCCTTTCTAAAGACTAAGGTAATGACACTTGAGAGCAATTTATTTATTCATTGTAGATCATTCCTCAATGAGGAACACTCAATTCCTGCCATTTCAGGGATTTCTGTGTCAGATTATATCACCTACTCTGTCAACAGGTGAAAAAGAGCAGGTCTGGACACAAGATGTAAAAAGGACAAAAGGAAGAATCTTGGTACTATTTCAAGATATACATTAAAAAAATACTAATTATCATCAGGAAGATGTCATTGGGAAGGAAGAACTTGTATGTTCATCTGCACTGCAAAGACCTTTTTTCTATTACAGTGGGATCCTGTCAGTCACTTAGATAATTAAGTAACTATAATTACTGAAACATATTTATCTTAGATACTAGAAAAATATTTGTAGTCCATTTGACTTAATTCTATGCTTAACAGCATTTTCAAATTAATCTTATCCTGAATGAAACAGCTTTACTGGCTTGACTTCAAAAATCCCTATTCCATGCTATTCCTCCATGCCAGAGAAAGCCATTAACATGTCATTGCTCCACTAGTACTCAGCACCTGCAACCCTGCCAATCAACAGCAAAAAGTTATGTTAAACTTTGGGGAATCTAAAGGACTGCTTAGTTTCAAAATGCAAGAAGACAAACAAAGGTTCCACACTTCACCAGGCCCCACCCCGTGGCAGCACTTCCCATAGACACCATGAGCCCTGGGGGCCACACACCACAGACCTTGCTACCAACATGTGTCCAGTCACAGGGAGAGACAGGGATGGGTTAGTGACCTGAACCAGCAGACACACAATCCCAGTGGCAGAGAAAGCTCCTACTGCTAAGCATGCTGACCAGGTAACATCTCTCACTGTACAAGCTTATATAATTTATTCTCAGAGGAGCTGAAGTTCAGCTTCATGGTGCCAATATGAATGAGGTAGCCTGCCTTTGTCTAGTAATTACTTATGCAACTCAGTAATCGTGTTGTCTGCCCTCCAGCCTTTCAAACTTCTTAGAAAATTAAGA